GTTTCTACCACTTAAAAAAAAACCAACAAATTAACAATTCTGATATAATTAAAATCTAAATATGTTGCAAGCTAAACTGATTCCTAGGAAAGTCTTTCTTTAAAATTAGCCAGTTACTTTTCAAAGTAAATTAAGTCATTGAATACATATACCTTATTCAAATATTGTGCAATGTAACCTCTTCCACAACCAAGATCCAAAGCAAGGGGGAAAGCTCTAAAAAAAAATAAAAAAAAAAAACACAAAGGTTATGCTCTGTCCATAATACAGTCTATACATTAAAAATTATTTTTTCTTAAGTAAAATCATTTCAGTAAACACAACTTCCAGAAGGTTACATCATCTGTCTTTTCGGCCTCACCTTACAAGCTGTATACACCAGAGCCTACAATACAAGGCAAGTCTGTCTGCTAGCTATTCACAGGACCTCGTGATGAGCCAGCTTTCCACTAGCTGTCTCCATGATGTGGACTCGAAGAACAGATCTAATGAGGATATTTTAACTCAATAATACATCCAGATAAAGAATGCAAACAAGCTAATGTAAATCAACCTGAAAATAACTGACATACTCATCAATAATTATCCCTATTTCTCAGACTTGTTGAAGCAGTGGAACACTTAGAAATCATAAGGTGAAATACCATTAAGTATTAATGTTAAACTAAAAAGAACTTGAATAATAAACTTTTACTGAAAACGTACCAGGTTCAAAGTACTGTGCTAAGTGTCTCAAGGTAAGTAAGCCAAACCAAGTACCTCAACTAATAAGCAGCAGTCAACAATTCAGTGAGTCTGAATCCTGGGCTGGAACTATTATCCTCCATGCCATGCTGTCTTCTCTAAATATACTATGTTATGCTACATTGGTACAGACATCTAATTGTAGGCCATAGGTTAAAAAAACAAACCTATAACGAGAAAACTTATCTACTAAGAACATTCTTCCTGAAAAACTGGAACAAAAAGAGCCCTTTGCAATTAGTTTTTAAAAAGCTTTGTCAAAATTATAGTACACGGCTGGAGAATCCCTGGTGGTAGATAACCTTATTTACCTAATGCCCTATAACTTGATGACGAACACAGGCAATATGGCACAGTTAGGTAGAGAGGCTTTGGAACTAGTAAGTAAATCTTCCATTTTTGGAGCAATCTTTCTATTACTCGCTTTTGGCCAAATGAAGTGGATTCAGGCTTGGAGATAGATACAAGTTGTACTTCCACACATTATTTTCTTTCTTCAGGCAACGATGAAGAAAACATTTGCTCTCCAGACAAGAAAAAGGAGACTTACAGAGTGATTTAAATCACCAGTCCGAGTAAATTCTTCCAAGTTCTGCCATTTCAGATATCAACTTCTCAGCATTTAACCTCCTGAATTTCCACTCAAAAGCTGACAGTATTGTATTATGATCACCACCACTTACCTGGGTATGTCATATACACGGTCTGCGATTCGACTTCCAACCTGAAGGATGACAAGAGGCATAGGTTAACAAGGAAGTAACACTCTTTCTCCAGTATTCAACAATCCACAGGTTACCTGTGTTTTAAAATAAGTACTTCCCTTTTTCCCCTTTTCAATGTCACCACAGGAACTTTCTTTTCAAATCACCAGGAAACACAATTGAGGCAAATTACTCCAGAAGTCAATTTTATGAAATCAAGACAAATATTCTTAAAAATACACAACACACACACATATATATATATGGGTCTTACATTTCATGTGACATAAGATCACAAGGATGAAAAGCAAAAGGAATACAACGGGCACATTATTGTCCACAGATATTAGCATGAGGTACATAAAGTGAAAAATTAGTTGGGGTTTATTGTATATGAGTACGTAAGTGGTCACTTAAGAAAAGCTGTATTATCTGATGACTAACAAATTTTGTGGAACTCATAAATGAACAACTTTTCTGAGTGACACTCGCAAGTTACAAAAAGCCAAATCTGAGGAAAGTGCACCTCCCCTGCCCCAATCCCATCCCAAGTTAAGAGTCATAAGATAAACACCACCTTTTGCTGGCCTAGCTTCATCTGGCAGCAATATACATGTAGGAGTCTAGTATTCCCCACATTCCACTCACTTCCTCATAAAGACCCCAGAGTTGCTACTAGGACTTAAAAGTTCCAAACACAGATGTACTTGCTTTTTGAGAGAAGGGCAAGGGAGAAGGGAGTATAGATGTTTTTCCCCAGGAGTCCACTTTGTACATCATTCTTTTTTTTTTTTTTTTTTTGTTTGAGACGGAGTCTCGTTCTGTTGCCCAGGCTGGAGTGCAGTGGCCGGATCTCAGCTCACTGCAAGCTCCGCCTCCTGGGTTCACGCCATTCTCCTGCCTCAGCCTCCCGAGAAGCTGGGACTACAGGCGCCCGCCATCTCGCCCGGCTAGTTTTTTGTATTTTTTTAGTAGAGACGGGGGTTTCACCGGGTTAGCCAATATGGTCTCGATCTCCTGACCTCGTGATCTGCCCGTCTCGGCCTCCCAAAGTGCTGGGATTACAGGCTTGAGCCACCGCACCCGGCCTGTATATCATTCTTAATATGAACACCCTATGTTTATTATAAAAAGAACTCTTCATATACTTTGTTCTAGTCCCACAAATTGGCAAGGCCTCAATCAAGTTGGAATCCAGGTACTTTTTTTGGAGGAGAAAGGGCTACGAGCGCACATCTTCCAAGTACATGACATCAGCAGTGTAGTCCGTGCACCCTGCCTTACAAATAGGATCCAGAAAATTTATTGGTAGTAAACTTCCTACGTCTATACTAGACATTATCAGCCTAACACTTCCTGAGAAACAGACACCCTGTCAATCATCTGATCAGACGTGTGCTTGCACAGAGCTCTGCTCAAGCTAGGCGTTCAGTAATTATACTTGACTCCAATTTTGTTCCACTCCTGAATAAAAATTTACTGAGGACTGAACTTGGGAATGCGTGTCCTCAAAGTAGAAACCCTCAGTCTTTGGCCCATCTGGGCAGGGAGAAAGAGGTTTCTCAAACGGGCCAAGACAAATTAGAGACCTTTTTGATCTTCCTAAAACATAAATCAGATCACTGATTAAAAAGAACTTCACATTCCCCTAGAGCAGTGCTAACAAATAATGAGAGCCACATATGTAATTTCAAATTTTCCAGAAGCCACATAAGTAAAAACGAGAGAAATTTAATTTCAAATTTTAATTGAAATTTAATTTTAAATTTATATTTAATATATTTCATGGAACCCAATATATCAGAAATACCACTGCCAACATGTAATCAATATAAAAGCTATTAATGAGCTATTTTACATCCTTTTTTCATGCTAAGTCACTATACTCGTGTGTATTTTACACTTACAACATCTCAATTGGACTAGTCAACTTTCAAGTGTTCAACAGCCACATGTGTGGCCGGCAGTTACCACACTGGCTGGACAGCGCAGATACAGAAGAAAACCCCAAGTCCCTATCCTTCAAGGCCCTGATGATTTGGACCCTCCTGACCTCCTCTCCCACTCTCCCTCTCTGGAGCTTCACTGGAGGCCTCTATCGGCCTCAGGGACGTTGCCGAAATGAATGAAAGCACGTTACAAATATCCGAAGCTAGGCCTTGCGAGATTACAGTACAGGCCGAGAGAGGCAGCGCTGCTAGTCAAGGTCAGACGGCGAGGTGGGGTGAGGTCGGGGCCTAGTCGGAGCTCGCGGAGAGGAAAACAAGCCTCCGCGTCGTCCGCCCCACCGCCCAGCCGGCTCACCTCCTCCTTCAGGTAGTCAAACTTCGTAGGCTCCGGCTGCCGGGCCGCCCAGTTCTTCTGTTTCCTTTTCAAATCCCGGTCGAAGATATTTAGCGCTCTGAGCGAGGTGCTCCCGCGGGGAGAGACACCAGAGGTGATTTCCCTACGGCCAGGGTTCTCCGCTGAGACCCTTGCCGCCCAAGGTCGCCGACATAAGCGCCACAGCCCTGCCGGCCGCAGCATCTCCAGCTGCTACACCAATTGCCGGCACTTTTTGTCGTGCGCATGCGCCAGAGCGGCTTTTGTGCCTACTCCGAAGATCACAGAGGGATCGTGCAAGTAGTTTGGCCTACTTCGCTTGCCGTTACGGCAGAGCGCCACGCGGGGGATTGTGGGTGTGAGCCGCCATGTGAGGCTCGGGAAGGACTCCCGACGGTAAGTGGGGATGAGCTCGAGTTGAAGAGCTTGAGGGGGCGTAGGTGTGGCGCGGGGGAAGAACTAGTCTCTTAACAGGATCTCCTTCGGATCTGCGAGGGGTTTTGCCCCTCCTCCTGAGCCTTTTCGGCCTCCTTTTCAGGGTCGCTTCTCAAATCAGTCTGTTAGCTGTCCCCCTGCGGTACGGAAGGTGGGAAGGAGACCCTCGTTCAGGGGCCAGCCTTGTGTTCGCATTACAGAGCGGGCAGAAGGGGAGGGTGGGCTGCGGGGATGTGGGCGCATGTCGGAAGTGAGGTCTGGTCGCCTTCCCCTCTCTCGAATTATCTGACAACGAGTGCTTTCGTTGTAAACATTTACAATACATACATTACTTCTCCTTGTTGGGGTGGTACCTACCTCGTAAGATTGCTCGGAGAGTTAAGTGCTGTAATAAATCGAAAGATGTGTAAATGCATCAGCGATAGCTTCAGTTTTTCCTGGTTAGTGTAATTAAAAGGACTTGATTTTTGAATAAGGAATGCTGGCCTGTAAATTTTTTTTTTTTTTTTTGCTGTCAATAACGACTTTTGGCTCTTTGCAAAATTCCCATGCAGAGATGCTAAACAATTAGGGACTATTCACAAGGGAGCAATATTGCAATGTTAATTTATACATACATATATATATGTTCTAGTGTGTTTTGGGGGGATCAACTCATTTGGGCCTTCATCACTTGTAGGATAAGATATTATAGAAATAAGTGATATTTATTAACTGGAGTGAGACTTTACATGGAGATTCAAGTTTACTGTTTTATTTATTTTTAAACTTTTTATTACTTTTGAAGGATGATTAGATTTAAAGAGGGAACTTTGTGAGCTAAACCTGAGTTGATTTTGGTCTGTTTAGTTAGGATGCTAGCCTTATAGAACTAAAGGCTGTTGGCAGTAGCAGGAGATAAGGAGTAGCAGAATGAGACCAGAATGTGAAGAAACAAATGAGGCCAACTGAGGCTAGGGAATCTTACTTTTTTTTTTTGGTAGACAGGGTCTTGCTCTGTTGCCCCAGCTGGTGTGCTGTAGTGCCCTTAGGCTCACTCTAGTCAAGACCTCCCGGGTGGAAGTGATCCTCTTGCCTCAGCCTCCAGAGTAGCTGGGACTACAGGTGCCCACCATGCTGGGCTCGTTTTTCTATTTCTTGTGGGGTTTTATCATGTCACCCAGGCTGATCCTGAACTCCTGGGCTCAACTGATCCACCCACCGTGGCCTCCCAAAGTGCTGGTGAGCCACCTCGCCCAGTCTAGGGAATCTTAATTACATTTGCTTTCAATTAGTAACACATACAGGTATACAGATAGAAATTCTAAGTGAGAACAATGGACATATATTTGTTCCCCTCCATAAAGCCCTGGGATTCTGCTTTGTCTGCCTTAAGTTTATTTCTCTAAATGATCTGTAATGGAAAGACGATATTTTGATATGTTTCTGCTTTCTTGCATGTGACCCAGAATAAGTTGGAGAGATGAAATTAGACTTGTTACCTTTATTTTACATACATTAAACTGAGAATATATTGTGAATTTATGTGTTTTAAAACATTTAATTATGGTACTAACCATTATTACCATTAAAACATTTGTTTTATTTTTTAGTATTTGGTTTCTTCAAGCATTTGGTCAAGATTAAAAATTTAAAATGTCATCCAAACAAGAAATAATGAATGACCAGCGGTTTAGACGGGTCGCAAAGGACCCGAGATTTTGGGAATTGCCAGAAAAGGATCGAAAAGTCAAAATTGACAAGAGATTTCGAGCCATGTTTCATGACAAGAAGTTCAAGTTGAACTATGCCGTGGATAAAAGAGGACGCCCCATTAACCATAGCACTACAGAGGATTTGAAACGTTTTTATGACCTTTCGGATTCTGATTCCGATCTCTCTGATGAAGACAGCAAAGCATCAAATCAAAAGAAAATAAAGAAGAAAAAAACCCAGACTAAAAAAGAAATAGATTCAAAAAATCTAGTTGAGGAGAAAAAGAAAGAAACCAAGAAAGCTAATCAAAAGGGTTCCAAAAATAAAACTGATTTAGATAATTCTGAAGGAATTAAAAAAATGAAAACCTCATGTAAATTTAAGATAGATTCAAACATAAGTCCGAAGAAGGATAGCAAAGAATTTATACAAAAAAGTGCGAAAGAGAAAAAAAACATTGTTCAACGTACTACAGACTCTTCTCTCAAAGAAAAACGAAGGACATTAGACTCGGGCACCTCTGAAATTGTGAAATCTTCCAGGACCAAGCGTTCTAAGACAAGAGGAGAAATGCAATCAGGTAGATTGGAAAAACTTAGAGATTCTTGGGTGTTGCATTATTTATTTTTATACTGATCTTTCAAAAATGTAAACACATTAATAAGTATTTTCATAGTATTATGGAATGGTCAAATGCTTATCTGGAAATACAAAGCTATAAAAGAAATATGCAGTGATTATTAATTTTTGATGTGGCGCTAGAAGACAGACATGAGAATTTGAATCTTGAAGTTAAACAGTGATTTTGATTAGTAGTGAGCCCTAGTGAGAACTATATTCTCTAAACAGATGTTGTATGTCATTACATGATAAGAAGAGATGTGTTTAAAGAGGGTAAGTAGGCTGGGCACGGTGGCTCATGCCTGTAATCCCAGCACTTTGAGAGGCCAAGGAGGGCAGATCACTTGAGATCAGGAGTTCAAGACCAGTCTGGCCAACATGGTGAAACCCCATCTCTACCCAAAACACAAAAAATAGCCAGACATGGTGGCACACACCTGTAGTCCCAGCTGTTCAGGAGACCGAGGCAGGAGAATCGCTTGAACCTAGGAGGTGGAGGTTGCGGTAAGCTGAGATTGTACCACTGCACTCCAGACTGGCTAACAGAGTGAAACTCTGTCTCAAAAGTAAAATAAAATAAATAGTGTAAGTAGGACTCCATCTCAAAAATAAAATAAGAGGGTAAGTAGAGTTGAGTACTCATTCATTAATTTGTTCAACTGCTCATTAAGTAGTGTGTGGCAGACAGAATATGAGTAAGGCATTGTCACCCATCTCAGGGCTGTCGCTAGCTTATATGATATCTTTATGCAAATTAGAAAAAGATATGCTCTCTGGACACACCGAGCTCCCAGGAGTCACACTTTGGTGAAGAGATGGCACCTTTGAAGCAACAGATTTTTTTGCCCCTGAGCAGACACAGCCCCCTCTGGAGTGCATGGCTTGGTGAGTGTAGGATGGCCTTGATTTTAGCCCTTCTTGTCCTTTAATAAATGCCCTTGTGCATGCTTAACTTTGTGCAGTGGCCCCTGTCTAAAGCAACATTGTCCAGCAGAAATATATAATTTTGGATTTTCTAGTAACCACATTAAAAAGTAAGATGAAACAGGTAAAATTCTTTTAAATAATATATTTTATGTAACCCAATATATCAAAATTATTTCAATATGTAATCAATATAAAAGTCAATGTGTATTTTACTTTCTATTTTCTACTCATTTCAAACTAACATCATACTATTTTCATATTAATGTCAAGTTAGACAAAACGCGTTTCAAGAGCTCAGTTACCACATGTGACTACTGGCTACCATATTGGACAATTTAAGTCTAAAGTAGAAGAAAGTCAGAACCATAATACAAAGTGCAATAGTAGTAAGTGCCATAAAAGATGTTTAGCAGAAAGCCTTGGAAATCTGGAGGAAGAAGTCACTCAAGATGTGGTAATCAGAAAAATTCACAGGGAACACACTACTTTGGGGTGTGGAAAAATTTAAGTTTGAGGACCACAGTGTTCTACATGGAAAGAACTTTTTGAGCAAAGATGTGATTGGGCATGTTCAGAAGAGATCAGTAGTCCCATTTGATTGAAGGGCCAAAATGAGTAGCAGCTAGAAATGATTGTTTGGAACTAGGTGAGAGACAGCTGGCTCTGTTTTGTGTTACGTGTTTACTAAACTTATTAAAATTTTATGTCACCTTCAGCAGCAAGCAATTTTGAGTGTTGATGTTGCTGATAGTTGATGATGTTCAAATGAGCCAGACCTGTCATTACAGGATCTAAGGAGGGGTCTCGATAGATCAAGAGGTTTTGATAGGCCTAGAGGTCTCGATAGGCAGATATCACACTGGGAAGGTAGAAAGTATCAGGCAGTGGAGTGAATTCTGAATAGCAGGGACTAGGAAGTCAGTGGTGGTATGCCATTTTACATAAGTGAGCAGCAGACCTCATGAGGCGTGGGAAGAAGGGATAGGAATCCGGTTACTGAAACTGAAGAATAGGATTGGAATGGGACCAGCAGCAAAGTTGATTTGGTGTTGAGTTAGTGAGGTAAGTTAGTCTAGGATCCCCTTCATGTGGGGCACTGAATTAATATAACATAGCTGTATAATCCTTTAGAGTGATTTTACAGACTCTTTTTACATATATTTTCTCATTTAATTTTCTCAGTTACCTTGAGCAATGAGACTGTATCAGCGAACAAGGTTAAAGTGACTTATGTAAGGACATGGAGACCTGGAACTGCAACTCAAGTCTTCTGATTCCTTCTACCCCACTATGTTGTTTGCAGTAATTTTGTTGGTTCCACAGTTTAGGAAAGGCATTACTCATAAATAAGGATTACGCAGCTCCGTATATAATTTTCTGTTCATTATCCATTCATCAGTTATCATTACAGCAATTACTGTGTGCAAGGGACTGTTTAAGTGCTATAAAGTAAAGGTGATGTGAGGAGTTGGCAGTGTGATATTTGTCATTATAAAATGTTCATGCCCAGCACTTGCACTCCTGAATATGTTTTACATAAATAATTGGGTGTGTGCAAAGAATGTGCATTGCAGCATTATTTTTGAAATAAAATGGTAACTGGCTGGGCATGGTGGCTCACATCTATAATCCCAGCACTTTGGGAGTGCGAGGTGGGTGGATTGCTTGAGGTCAGGAGTTTGAGACCAGCCTGGCCAACATGGCAAAATTTTTACAAAAATTTTGTAAAAATACAAAAATTAGCTGGGCATGGTGGTGCACAGCTGTAATCCCAGCTACCTGGGAGGCTGAGGCACGAGAATCACTTGAACCCAGGAGGTGGAGCTTGCAGTGAGCCAATACTGCACCACTGCACTCCAGCCTGGGCAACAGAGCAAGACACTATCTCAAAAAATGAAAATAAAAATAAAATGGTAACAGATCATTAAGAGAGTGATTAAATGTTATATGCAAACATCTATGATCTATGAAGTTTTAAAAATAGGTTACAAAATAACAAATGATATGACCAGTTACTTAAAAAAAATTAGTATTTAAATCAGAGAAAGCAAATTTAGAGATATGGTTATATACTAAAATCACCAGTTATCTTTGAATGAAAAATTAGTAGTCACCTTTGTTTAATTTATTAACCATATTTTCCTAATTGTTTTTGGTTTCTAATGATCATTTATTATGTTTATAATTGGAGGAAAATGGTAAATGGTTTTTTTTTTTTTTGAAGTTGCTGGATAAGTAGTAATATTTACTGTCACTACTAGAGTAATACCGTCTAGGAGTAGAGACAGTTGTTTATATTTGTGTAACCCCACATTGTCTTGCACAAGGCTGTGTACATTGTGGGCTCTAAGCAGATACTTTTTGGGTTTTATTTTTTGTTTTTTTGTTTTTTGGAGACAGGGTCTCACTCTACTGCCCAGGCTGGAGTGCAGTGATACAATCGCAGCTCACTGCAGCCTCAACTTCCTGGGCTCGGGTGATTCTCCCACCTCAGCCTTCCGAGTCACTGGTACCACAGGTGCACCCCACCATGCACAGCTAATTTTTGTATTTTTATACAGACAGAGTTTTGCCATGTCGCCCAGGCTTGTTTCAAACTTCTGGGCTCAAGATCCTCCCATTTTGGCCTCCTAATGTGATGGGATTACAGGCATGAGCCACTGCACTCAGCTGCAGATACTTATTGAATGAACAGATATTCTGAATGTAGTTGATATTGTTAAAAACATTAAAATAGAAGACCTCTTTAAGTCTCTTACGCAACACTTTATTATTATACAACCCAAAGCGTGGTATGTATACCATTGTCATAAGTGAGAAGATTTTTGATGATACTCAAACTTTTAAAATATTAATAGTTATGTACTATGTCAATATCTTAGAAAACAATGTAATTACCCCATCACTTCTGTGACTTCAGGAATATTGTTTAGAACAAAGCTAATTTTTAGAAAATTCTATTAAAAAATATATAAATGATATTTAACAATCATGAAAATGATATAATGATTGACAATTGAGAAATATTGCAATACTAGATAGACTGGGTCTGTAAAATGTTATTTCTAAGCTTGTTGCTTAAAAGTGAATTCTGCTTACCTTGTAACTTTCAGTGTTGTGTTTTTCTGATCTCATACACAACCTGTGACAATGCCTTCATTTTGGCGTTTTTCACTTCTATTGGCTAGTTATTTTTTTATTAACCCCTGCTTCCTTGTGGTGGTAACATAAAAGCCCATTTCCTGCTTTTCCTTCTAACAGAATACCTTTTCATTCAGTTAGTCTCAGGTCAAATTGTATCTTTGTGAAGCCTTTTTATAAATACTTCTTTGCAGGCAAATTTAGATGTTTCTCACTGTATGGTGATTGAGAAGATAGGTTTATAAATCAGTAAACTGTTACCTTTTATTTATGAATCCATCAAGAGCATGAGATCATGTTACAAATCTTCTCTCTTTTCCCTTATCCTAGCTCAATTCTTTGTATGTGGTAGATAATAAATACTTGCTCAATGAATGGTTATTGTAAGATTATAGGACCAAGAGAAACTTAGTTCCAATTTCATTCTTAATTCTACAAACTTAGAGCTTGTAAGCAGAAACATAAGCTCCAATTTAAAGATGAATTAAACATATAAGATATATCTACACACCCAGTAGACAGAAGTTTGTGATTGCTTTAGAAGTAGGAAATGAGCCCTTTCCGAGTTGTGAGGACTAAAATTTCCAACTTAAGCAAAAACAGTCTTTTAATCCTGGTGTATTGCTAATCATTACAGTTGATTACAAAGTTAAGACCTGGCAGAAAAGTTGTAAATATTATTTCTCTGACTTTATAGGTGATCTCATCCACATCACAGCTTCTGTTGTCAACTACATATGAATGAGTCACTGATCTCCAACCCACACTTCTCTGAGCTGTATACTCTTATTATTGATCCTTTCTTTTAGATGACTGAGTGGCACTTCATATTCAACATATTCAAAACTGAGCTCATTATTTCCCTCCACCAAACAAACTAGTTCAAATCCAGTGTTCCCTTTTCATCTATCCATTTTCTTAGCTAGCTGGCTCTGAAAGCTAAGAAGCTATGACTCATCTTTGACACTTCCAAAATTCTCGTTCCCCATATCAAATCTCCAGTCGGTAATTATTATTGGTTTCACTTCCTAACTGACTCTGAGATCCATGTACTTCTCTGCATATATACTGCCACCCAACTTAGTGCTACCTTCGTTTCTTGCCTTGTGTACTGTACTACCTTTGCTATATTCACATCTGTTCTTCACTTTCCCTAGTCAAGGTGATCTCCTCAATATGCAAGTCTGAGGATGACAGTATCCAAAAGAAGATGACATCCTGTTTTTTGAAAACAGCAGTGTCTTCCCAGTGCTTTTAGGAAAAACTCCAAGCTCTCTATATGGTTTTTAGATAGCTTGGCCTCTACTTAACTCTTCATTTCCATTTGTTACTTGATTCTGTGCTATCTGTGATCTGGATATGATTGTTGGCTTTTTCCTATTGGCAGATTTTTACAGGTACCTTCCTTGCTGTTTTAAACAAATTTCCATCTATTAGTCTAACTTTTGACTGTTTAATCCTCTTCATCCTTCAAGTAACAGCTCAGTTATCACTCACTTAGGGACCCTGTTATATCCCCTTAGAAAACATTCTTTCTTGAATATCTTAGTTGTGATTTTAACTTTTTCTGTGTATTGGTTTTGACATCTATTCTTGTATTCTTTTCACTCAGCTAGAAGTTTCACTGAGAGCACTGTTTGCTTCTCTTTTGCCAACTATCGTATATTGAGCACTTAGCACATAGGAGGCACACTGTTAAGTATTGGATGAATGTCTGGATCTACTTGCATGATGTGAGCATGTGTTAGGATTTCTGTTAAATAACTTGCTTAAGTGTCTACTGAATTTGTATTTTCCTTTACTCTGTTTCATGAAAGTTATGGTTAGGATTTCTATCATAAAAATTGACTAAGCATTTACTGAATTTATATTTGCCTTTACTGTGTTTCACAGAAATCATATTTTTATTGGATTTGATATCAAAATAATTTGGATTCAGTTTAATTCAGTGTATATCTTTTCTTAATGTCTTTCCCCTTTAATATTTTGCAGTGGTTCCACCTATAATGACAAGAGACAGTGATGGTTATGAAAACTTGACAGATGTTGAAATGTTTGACAAAGATGCTCTGGAGGAAGATTCAGAAAGTGTTAGTGGAAGTGATGAAGAATCTGAAAGTGAAATTACAGGTGTTGGTAGAGCTTCAGGTGATGATGATGATGGAAGTGAAGATGAAGAGGATGAAGATGAAGAGGAGGATGAAGATGAGGATAGTGAGGATGATGATGAAAGTGACAGTGGCCCTGATCTAGCAAGGGGTAAAGGAAATATAGAAACTAGTTCTGAAGATGAAGATGATGTGGCAGATTTGTTTCCAGAAGAATCTGGTTTTGAGCATGCTTGGAGAGAATTAGATAAAGATGCTCCTCGTGCTGATGAGGTAACCTTTTGAATAAACAAGATTATTTGTGAAAAACACAGTACAGGGAGCTTTTATGGGTGGTTAGAATTGGTGTCATTAAGTGGGAAAAGCTTATTGGTAATAGTATTCTTGATGATTCTGATTAAAATTTGATATGGAATATAACTATGTGAACTAGAAGATGTCCAAGCAGATAAGGAAGAAGCTCTACATAAATAATTAAAAGTTGCATGAAATTTTTAATACTTGTTTTGGCTAGTAGTTTATATTTCTGTTTGTACGGCACCTAATAGAAATGTTGCAGGGTAACATACTCAACTTCCTTATGCATGCATGGCAAAATAGCTTAACAAGCTTGGTACTTAAAAAATCAGCTCATGATCATGTTCTGATTTAACAAGAAGCAGGTAAGAGAAAGTGCTTATCTGTTACGGTTTTACTATTGTTTGGCTCATTTGAAGTTCTCTTTTATATACTGCATTACACTTAGATAACTACTGTACTGTTAATTTCAGAGCATAGGGGACAGAATTTATTATGTTTTTAGAATCTTTATCTTTCAAGTATTGATAATGATATGGATTATGTACTATTTAATTCTCATTTCTCAGATTACACGTCGGTTAGCAGTTTGTAACATGGACTGGGATAGATTAAAGGCAAAAGATTTGCTGGCTCTGTTCAATTCATTTAAACCTAAAGGAGGTGTTATATTTTCCATCAAGGTGAGAATTCATTTCATTTGGAAGTAAATGTTTCTAGGCATTTTAAGTTAAATCTGATTTTTTTTTTTTTTTTTGCCATAGTTTTCATTTTTAGGAAAATAATGTGGAAGTTGTCTAATACAATTGAGTGTGAAACTTATGTAACAGGTGTAACTGTTAGAAAGGAAGAGGTGAAATTATTATTATTGATAGGTTATATGCTTGTTTACACATTAAAAACCCAAAGAAATAAAAGCTTAGTAAAGGGACAGGGTATAAGAACTGTTTTTAAAAATAAATTGCATTCCTTATTGCTAACACTGGCCAATTAAGGAAAAAAAAAATCTATACTAGAAACAAAACCATATAAAGTACTTGGGAATTACCTTAATAAATACAAATGACCTATGTGAAGTAAACTGTAACACTTGATAAATTTGAAAAACTTACATAGATTTGGAGACACCTTGTTTCAAGCCAACCTAATGATTAAGAATCCAGACTTTGCATTATGAGAGACCGGGGTTCAAATCTTGATTCTCGTAAGTGCTATGTGATCCTGGACATTTAATTAATCTCTCAAATATGTTTACATCTTTCCAATATATCCAAGTGGATATATAACAATAGTATTGGTGGCTGTAAGGATTACGTATAAAGGAGCTCACACTAAGTATTTAGTGCAGTGCCTGAAACAGTCCTGCCCTCAATCGTTGTTAGAGATTGAGTCTTCCTTATCCAAAATGCTTGGGATCAGAAGTGTTTTGAACTTCAGATTTTGAAATAAAATTGCATTATATATACTTACTGGTTGAGCGTCCCAGTTCCGAAATCTGAAATGCTCCAGTGAGCATTTCCTTTGAACCTCATGTTGACAGTCAAAAAGTTTGGAATTTTGGATTTGGGATTTGGGATGCTCAACCTGTATTACTGTTTAAATATTTAAAGATGTTATGTCTACAGTTCTAGTGTAATTTTGATCAAAATCCCAGTTCAAGTCAAAGTTAAGAAAAAGGATACCAATAATCATCTAAAAGAATAAACAAATTAAGAGTAGCTAATAAAGTTTTGAGAAATCATGTTAATATAAAAACTTACCCTGTCACTTCTCAGCCTTTTGGCTAAGATCAAGTATAAAAACTGATCGTACAAGTTACAATATCTAAACATTCTATGATGCTATGGGGGTTGACAGGTTTGAGTAAAAATGGGACAAATTGGTAGAACAGAATAGAATTTATATGATAACTTAGATCAAAATAGGCTGCTTGAATATTTGGACAAATGAACAAGTCATTGGATAGAGAACTTGATTCAGATCTTTACCTCCTGATAACCCCAACGAAACTGTAGATGAAGCAAAGGAAAAAAAATTAAAAGTCAAGCCAAAGAAACAATTTTAAAAACCTGTGTTTTAGGCGATAGTAAGAATTTCTAGACTTAGAAAAGAAGAAAAAAAGAATCAAAAGATGCGACTATACATATATTATAAACTTATGTATTAAACCTATTGTGTGTATATATATATATACACAATTAAAGTTAGTAAGAAGAACTTGGATCATCTTGTTGATAAATTGCGTATTTCAGACAGTTCAAAAAAGCATGTATTCATTAACAAATATGTATTAAGCCCAGTAGTATCAAAGCGATGTCATTACTACAATTATTTCTTGACTCTCAAAGTAGGCAGGATTTTAGAAAATACCACACCTGGTGAGAGTGAATCCTTTTTCTCATATCGAGACTATACCTAATCTGTATAATGTTGTCATCAGTTCTGTTCTGTTTCTTTAAAAGAAAGCACTGGGTAAATGGTATGACAGAGATAAGTTGGTTATTACAAAATTGATTTTCATTATATTTTTATTTTTCTGTATTTCATGTAAACTATTTAATTTGCTCACTTTTCTTGTGTGTGTTTATATTCAGATTTCCTTGAGCTTAGCGTCTTGTTTTGCTTTTAATTTTTCCTTTGGGTCTCAGAACCATTTGTTTTTCAAGCCTCGTATCTGTTAGTCTCCAGCCAAAGTGATCTATTTTTAAAGAAAATTTCTCAGAATGCTCTAGCTTCCTATAGTGGATTTGGAAGTGAGTCACCCTTGCTGTTTTCATTGAGTCAAGTTGTGACTTTTAGAGTTCCTGACCTCAACAGGTCTAGATATTTGTGTAAAGGAATATACAAATTACATTGATCCTATTTTTTCTGTTTAGATATATCCTTCAGAGTTTGGAAAGGAGAGGATGAAGGAAGAGCAAGTTCAAGGACCAGTAGAGCTATTAAGTATTCCTGAAGATGCCCCAGAAAAGGACTGGTATTAAATCACTATAGAAAATAAAACTAAACCTCATAAATTCATGTTATTAGTTTAGAATTTTGGTCATCTTGATAGTTAAAACTGAAGTTTATACTTGTGCCATTCATGGTTAAAACAGGTTGCAAAACAGATTTAAAGTCTGTTAAAAATGGTACATTATTCCAAGAAGATTTTTGTTTGTGTATATTTATATTTCTGTATTCATGAAAATAATTATTGCAGTTTTTGGAAAACATTTCATGATTAAACTGATTTGGAATTCTTTTGAATTCCTTCAGCCTCGTTGCTCTGAATTAGTACGTTTTGCTTTTTTTTTTTTGAGACATCATTGAAGCTCTGTTTGCTTTCAAATTATATGATTTTTCTTATTTGAGAATCGAATAGAAAAGTGAAAGAATGATAAAACATTTTTTTATAATCATGGTGCAATATAGAAAATAATTTCAGATAGTTTTTAAGCCACTAGGTGGAGCTATATTTACACATAATAAAAATGAGGGTTAAATAGATAAGAGAGCAGATGAAGATCTTCAAAGAATGTGTTGTATCAGTGCTTTGTGTGGAACTTAAAAAAAAAAAGGAATGTGTTGCAGTTAAGCAAAATTAAACTTATAGACTTAAATATTTTGCAAGATCAGGAATGTCTTTGTAGCTAATGCCTTTCTAACGTTTTATAATAGAATTATCTTCATTGGCTTTACTTGAGAAGGTGGTATGTGGTAGCAAAATGAAGTAACTATTCTGTGAGTTAAATTCTAGATAAGCACATATAATTCCCACATGCTCCTTTCCTAGATACCATATTCCAATCCAAATACTTGCACCTTGTGAGAATAATAAATTGAGCTTAAGTATTTAATGTTTATAAAGACAAAGTCATGAAAGAAAGATGGCTTGGTATGAAGGCCAGCTTATAATATGTTTTTCTTGAAAGAATTATATTTATTTTTTAAAGGGAAATGTTTGTGTTTCTGTATAAGTATGTTTAATTAGTTTTTCCCACTTTAGGACCTCTAGAGAAAAATTGAGAGATTATCAATTCAAACGACTGAAGTACTATTATGCAGTCGTAGACTGTGATTCTCCGGAAACAGCTAGTAAAATTTATGAGGATTGTGATGGCCTGGAATTTGAAAGTAGTTGTTCTTTCATAGATCTAAGGTAATCCAGTGTATGTATTACCAATTTAGTCTTTTAGTACAACATGATTATAAGAAGTAAAATATTTGAACTGATAGTGATCTCTGTTTTATATTCTAAAATGATTTTTTTTGCTTTTGGGTTAACTCTATTGCATGGAACATCACTCCTAAGAAAGAAAACAAGAAAATGCTAAAGTATTATGTATGAATCATCCCCACATCTTTTTCCTTTCAGACATATTGGCTCTGTTTTTAAGATGGTGTACCCTACACAATGATACTTCCTTGCAACTGCTTTTTAGAGCTAGGAACCAAATGAAGTTACCTTTTAAAAATGCATGGAGGAAAAGGCAGAGGAATTTGCTAACAGACTGTTATCTCTAGATCCATGCTATCCAGTATAGTAGCCACTAGTCATATTTGGTTATTTTAGTTAAATAAAATTTAAAATTCAGTTGCATAGTCATATTTCAGATAATTAATGGTTACATTTGGGACAGAGCAGATACAGAACATTGCCCTTGTCACAGAAAGTTCTGTTGGACAACACTGCTCTAAATGTAAATGACTAAATGTACAATTAGGAAATTGTAAGAATCAACCTTAAGCTTTCACTTGTTTTCAGTGACACCTCATGTATATGATACTTTGTATTCACAATACTTACCCTTTAATAATTATATTTGATCTTTAAAATACAATACAGCCAACTGGGCATAGTAGCTCATGCCTGTAATCCCAGCACTTTGGGAGGCCTAAGCAGGAAGATCGCTTGAGCCCAGGGGTTCAAGACCAGCCTGGGCAACATAGTGAGACCCTGTCTCTACAAAAAAATTTTAAAAGTAAAAATTAGCCAGGTATGTTGGCACACGCCTGTAGAGGATTGCTTGAGCCTAGGCTGTTGAGACTTCAGTGAGCCATGATTATGCCATGGCCCTCCAGCCTGGGTGATGGAGCAAGACCCTCTCTCTAAAAACAACAACAAAACCATGTAGTCAGTGACTGCGCTATCAAGTCTGGATCTTTTTGAAACGTGAGGGACGCACATGTGCTTGCACCTGACTCATTAATTGACTCCTAATGCAGGGTTTCTATCTATACAGCATTCTTTTAAATTTAGAGGAATTATAGCTTATGAATTTCAGAAATTTATACAAAGATGAATTCATTAAGAAATATACATATAATCTAGATAAGCACATAAGAGGTTATGTCTAACATTGTCTCTTAAACGTGTGTCTTTTAGAAAGTTATATGTATGGTTATCACTGCAGTGTATGTTTAAATAAATTTTTTTTCTTTACTTCTTAGGTTTATACCAGATGATATTACTTTTGATGATGAGCCTAAGGATGTAGCCTCAGAAGTGGATTTAACAGCATATAAACCAAAATATTTCACATCTGCTGCAATGGGAACATCAACGGTATTTCTTAACTTTAAAAAATATGTAGCCGGACTCTATTGCTCTATGAAGAGAGTTTGTATATTATAGCATCTTTAAAAATGGAAAGTATTAATTTTTTGTTATTATTTTTTCTTGAGACAGAGTCTCGCTCTCTCACCCAGGCTGGAGTACAGTGGTATGATTACTGTAACCTCTGCTTCACAGGATGAAGCGATTCTCGTGCCTCAGCTGCCCAAGTAGCTGGGTTTACAGGTGTGCACCACTACACCTGGCTAATTTTTGTATTTTTACTAGGGACAGGGTTTCGTCATATTGACCAGGCTGATGTCAAACTTCTGACCTCAAGTGATCCTCCCGCCTTGGCCTCCCAAAGTGCTCGGATTACAGGCGTTGTGAGCTACTGCTCCCAGCCTCAGAGTATTCAAAATTTAAATGTATGGGTACAGATAGAAATGAGACACAAGTGTGTCTGCATCTACCATATCTGTGAACCTATTTTCAGATTCTTGTTATGCATTTAAGCCTGTGTCAGTTACCTGCTGATGTTTCTTTTTTCTCTTCTGTCTTTCCTATACACTCTTCTGTCTTTCCTGTATACTCTAATACATCAGTTATTAATATCCTAGGGAATAAAGAGAAGTGGATAATAAATTACTTCGCAGCACAGTTAAACAAAACTAGTGAAGATTTAAAATAGGAGTACCTTTTTCTGCAGATACGATTCAAAACTAAAAAGAATTGATGTGGAATAATTAAGGTATAATAGATGTCACATTAATGCTTTGTAACAAATAGCCAAAAGGTTTTTTGTCTATTGAAATAGTTTATTACTTAGGTGACTACCTTCTCCCTTTTCTTTTTTTTTTTTTTAAAGACAGAGTCTTGCTCTGTTGCCCAGGCTGGAGTGCAGTGGCACGATCTCAGCTCACCACAACCTCTGCCTCTTTGGTTCAAGTGATTCTCCTGCCTCAGCCTCCCCAGTAGCTGGGATTATAGGTGTTCACCACCACACCCGGCTAATTTTTGTATTGTTAGTAGAGACTGGGTTTCACCATCTTGGCCAGGCTGATCTTGAACTCCTGAGCTCAGGTGATCCTCCCCGCTCTGCCTCCCAAAGTGCTGGGATTATAAGTGTGAGCCACTGTGCCTGGCTCCTTCTCCCTTTTCTTTTTTTTTTTTTTCTTTTTTTGGAGACTGAGTCTCACTCTGTCACCCAGGCTGGAGTATAGTGGCACAATCCTGGCTCACTGCAACCTCCGCCTCCCAGGTTCAAGTGATTCTCCTGCCTCAGCCTCCCAAGTAGCTGGGATTACAGGGGCACACCACCACGCCCAGCTAATTTTGTATGTTTAATAGAGACGGGGTTTAACCATGTTAGTCAGGCCGATCTCAAACTTCTGACCTCTGGTGATCCACCCGCCTTGGCCTCCCTTCTCCCTTTTCTTTCTTCCAATAACCCTTCTGTTCACAGCTGTACTCTGCAATAGCCCCACTAGCTTCCCTCTGCTTTTCAAAACCTGTGTGATAAATCACCAGGCTTCTCTGAGGAGGGACTGGTAGCAGAGAGAATAGCTGTATCTGTCACCTGCTGTGCTGTGGTGGGCACTCTATGGCATTGATTAGTTACTGGAGTAGTAAAACTCTACCATTACATAGTAAGCAAAGTCTAAAAAATTCAGTCACAGGAAATTAAAGTCATGTTATTTTCAGGACCAAAATAATGATCAGGGCCAGCCTGTCCAGCCAGCCAGTGTAGAGTTCCTGGGTCCTGGCTGTATCATCAACATCTGTTCTAGTGCCAGCAGTGGTTTGGTGGTTATCTGCTCAAGCTTAATTATCAGAATAGGGATCATTTCTGAATCCTATGACTAGCTGGAATTTCTGAGACAGGTGGCAGTGATTTTAAGGATCTCGATTAATTGCTGTCTCTTTTGCTATCCTTGTCTGGGGAGATTGGCCTGAGCGGAATAAACAAAAACCAAGGATGTGGGATCTATCCTATGATGGAGATAAGATATCTAGCAGGGCCTTATATGAGAATAGGGGCTATGTAGAGGACAGGAGCCAGTCATCACCACATCAGTCATGTCCTAGATGAATTCATGTATTATGGAGGTTTAAGCTATTTCCAACTAATAGATGCTTTTCTCATCAGTGGTTCTTAATCTTTTTTTTAAATGGACCCCACTGAGTTTGTGTTGTTTTTTCAACAGATTTCATATAGTTTGCAGATCTCCTGAAATCTTAGAACTCTGGTTGAAAACGTGTTTTCACTAATTCATAATGTTAACTTTTTTTTTTTTTTTTTGAGATGGAGTTTTGCTCTTGTTGCCCAGGCTGGAGTACAATGGCGTGATCTCAGCTCACTGCAACCTCTGCCTCCTGAGTAGCTGGGATTACAAGCCTCCTGATTCTCCTGCCTCAGCTTTCCTAAGTAGCTGGGATTACAGGCACCCACCACCATGCCCGGCTAATTTGTTGTGTTTTTAGTAGAGATGGGGTTTCACCATGTTGGCCAGGCTGGTCTCGAACTCCTAACCTCAGGTGATCCACCCGCCTTGGCCTCCCAAAGTAGTGGGATTACAAGTGTGAGCCATCATGCCTGGCCCATAATGTTAACTTTTTTACCAGTACATTTTCTTAGTTTTTTTTCGCCGTAATTAATTTATACACTGGTTAATTTTTACTGCCAGTAATGGAGTATCCTGTAGATAGCAGAGAATTGGGAGAAGGTACAAATTAATAGAAATGGTTCCCTTTTCACAAATAGAATACTATTTATTAATCATATCATTAATGTATTTGTTTTAATGTGTCTTAACTTCTAACTTACTGTTAAACATCCAGGTTAATACTGTATATTCTTTAACAAGTTTGAGTTGACATTTCCATTTTCGTGTGTTATTTTTTCTTATTTGTTGGTGAAAGGTGGAAATCACTTGGGATGAGACTGATCATGAAAGAATTACAGTGCTCAATAGGAAGTTTAAAAAGGAAGAGCTTTTGGACATGGATTTTCAAGCCTACTTAGCTTCCTCTAGTGAAGACGAAGAGGAGAAACAAGAGGAGCTAGAAGGTATTGTTAATCTTTTAGTGACCATTAATGGGCAAAGGTCTTTGGCAGTAGCTTTACAGGGAAGGCCAAATTCTGTCTGCAAATATGCTCACATGCACAGTATTATATATACCTGTAGATAGTGATTGATTTAAAAACAATATCTTTTCTTTGCCTGAATTTCTTTAACTATGAACATTTTGTTTAAAATCCCAACCTAACCAAGGATGGCCTTCTAGACTTGTCCTAATGCATGTGGTTGCACAGTTTCCTAATAAACCAGTAAAACAATCTTTTAGGCACGCCCACCGCCACCCATTTGCCTTTTTAAAAATAAGAGCATCATTTAGACTGATTAAATATTTTTACAGTCCATGTTTTCAACTAGTTAAAAAGTAGACTCTGTTTCTATAATTATTCCTTTGAGTGCTTTTAAAGTTTTCTCTTTTTGTCTTTCTGCAATTTTACTATGGTAAGTATAAGAGTAGATTTCTTTTTGTTTATGGAGTTTGAGGTTTGTTGTTGGGTTTCATTTATTTGTGGATTGGTATCTTTCTTCAGTTTCGGAATATTCTCAGCCATTATGTTTTCAGATGTTGTTTCTTTATCCTTTTAGGACATCAACTAAATACATGTTAGAGCTCATCATTATATCTTGCCTGTCTCTACTTTTATGTTTTTAATCTGTTGTCTCTGTACTGCATTCTGGATATTTTCTTCTGACCTATCTTCCAGATCACCAGTTGTCTTTTCAACAGTGTTAAATCTGCTGATAGACCTCTCCATTGAGTTCTTAATCTTGGTTGTTACATTTTTTACTTATGGAGGTTGTATTTGGCTATATTTCAAGTCAGAAACACCACTTTTTATATTTTTTACTCATAGTCTCTGATAGTTTTAATATTTCATGTATTTTCAGGTTGGTGTCTTATTTTACAAGGTATTTCTCTCTTGTTTACTTGTGTGCCTAGTGAACTTTGTGTGTTACTTTGATATTTGAAGTTAGGGTATCTTTGATCAGAGAATAATTTACTTTGGTTGGTTTAGAACCACATTTCTCCAAATGTTAAGACTTAGGTTCTCTGGCTTCTGCAGGTGGTTAAAGTCTGTATGAGGGCTGGTTTACTTCAGATTGACCATATCCCTGGGAGTATATCCCTCTGGGTGGCTGCTTAATATCAAGGTACCAATTGAAATTCCCTCTTTTGTTCGGCCTTTAACTTTTGTCTTCTTGGTTCTGAAAGCCTGCTAAAACCACAGTTGAGTTTCATGGCTCTTTGTTCTGTGGATCAGGAAACAGGAAATGATCTCAGACCAAACAGGTCTTTAACCCTGGAGTCATCCCTCTAATATTCCCTTCTTGTTTTTGACATAGTAAGTCTTCTCTAACTTGACAGTTCTTTGAAACTTTTCTTTCTTTTTTTAACCCCTTTGAAGCTTTATAAAATATTTAATCCAACTTAATTCCAACTTAATGTCTTCAGTGAAAGAGTTAGTCTGAAGTACTTAGCTTGCTGTTAATAAGTTCTCAAATTATCTTTATCTTTATTCAAGTTGTTTTTGTTTTTTGAGTACTGCTGTGTCACCCAGGCTGGAGTGCAGCGGTACAATCTGGGCTCACTGTAACCTCTTCCTCCTGGGTTCAAGTGATTCTCCTGGCTCAGCCTCCTGAGTAGCTGGGACTGCGGGTGCTTGCCACCATGCCTGGGTAATTTTTGTATTTTTGGTAGAGATGGGGTTTCACCATGTTGGCCAGGCTGGTCTCGAACTCCTGACCTCAAGCCATCAACCTGCCTCAGCTTCCCAAAGTGCTGGGATTATAGGCATGAGCCTCTGGTCCTGGCCTTTTTTTTTTTTTTTTTTTTCTTTTAAATGCTTGAAACGATTAATGGTGTACAATTGACTCTTGAACAACATGGGTTTGAACTGTGTGGGTTCACTTATACATGGGTTTTCTTCTGCAATTGGCACCCATGAAACTATAAGGCCAGCCCCTCTTCCTGCTCCTCCTTAGCCTACCCAGTGATGACAATGAGGATGAAGACCTTTACAATGATCCACTTCCATGTAATGCATAGGAAATATATTTCTCTTCCTTACGATTTTCTTAGTACCATTTTATTTTCTCTAGTTTATTATAAGAATACAATGTATAATACATATACAAAATACGTGTTAACTGACTGTATTATTTGTAAGGCTTCTACTGCATGGTAGACTGTTAGTTAAGTTTTGGGAGAATCAAAAGATACATGTGGATTTTCTTTTTCTTTTTTTTTTTTTTTTTGAGATGGAGTCTCGCTCTGTCGCCCAGGCTGGAGTGCAGTGGCCGGATCTCAGCTCACTGCAAGCTCCGCCTCCTGGGTTTACGCCATTCTCCTGCCTCAGCCTCCCGAGCAGCTGGGACTACAGGCGCCCGCCACCTCGCCCGGCTATTTTTTTGTATTTTTTAGTAGAGACGGGATTTCACTGTGTTAGCCAGGATGGTCTCGATCTCCTGACCTCGTGATCTGCCCGTCTCGGCCTCCCAAAGTGCTGGGATTACAGGCTTGAGCCACCGCGCCCGGCCACATGTGGATTTTCTACTGTGCCTGGGGTTGGCACCTCTAACCTCCATGTTGTTCAAGAATCAGCTGTACTTTTAAATGTATATGCTCGTTGCTTAAAATAGCTCACTTTGTGGAAATAAAGCCACAAAACCCTTTTTCCCTATATTTGATCTGTCTCTGTTTGGAAATTGGTTGCCTAGTTGTAATTTCATGTCAACTTTTGGTTGATACTATTTGCCTAATACCTTCACATCTTCATTCTTCTTATCTAATAGAAGAATTCCCATTCATGAAAAATTATAAGTAAGAGATTTAATGCTGACAGAAAGTGAAGAACCCATAAATGTTAAACGTAGATATAAGTATTTTAAATTAGCAAGAATGAATATTCTCTAATTTGTGGCTTAACATTTTTCATAGCTTTTTTGTTTTCCTTTTGTATATGTATTATTTTTATAGCCTAAATGTCAAATTAAATAAATCCTGAAATGTTTCTTTAGTATGACCATAGTGCAGTTAAACTTTGAGTTTCCGAGATCCCATGATTGGTCTATCACTGTTTCTTTTAGACTCCTGAAGACAGTGCTTCATTTTTCTAAGCTTTTCATAAAATACTATTCTTTAACAGTATGGAAAATCATGTTTAATCATTCTGGTTTCTTTGTTCAGATATCTCATATTAATACAACCACATAATTGCTTAAGTATTTAATACTCTTTGAAAATGTGTATTTGCAATGGGAGTTAAGTTGGGCGCAAAGGGCCTCACATTTTTTTTAAGGCCTTAGTGGCAGATGCTTGTTAATTTTCTTTGGTGTTCCAAATAACTGGATGACCATTTTATTTTTTTATTGTTCACAGAACAGCTGAGTCATTTCTTCAATTATCCTCTGTCTGTGTCTTTTCTCCTCATAGATATGGAGAAAGACATAATGATTTATCAGTATTTCTTTTTTATTTGTATGCCTATATGGGCATTTAGAACTTTTCTGAAAATTCTGAAAAGTTTTTCTTCACATCAGCTGTAAAATAAAGGAAAAAAAGATAACTTTATGTACACTTGTGAAGATTGGATACAAGTTGTTCAAGTAGATTTCTGTTTTGGGAGAACCGAACTAAATTTTAAAATGACATTTTTGACATGAGGGCAGCTAATATTGTGAATAATAAGCAATAATTTGTTAATACATTCTTGTTAAGAGCTTGGGCTCTGCTGGTTTCAATTCCTAACTTCACGGTACATAGGTTAGATTTACTAAAGCCCCTATATCTTTCTTCCGTAGCTGTGAAATGAGGCTCTAATAGTACCAGGCTTATGGTTGGAAAGACTGAAATTATGTACCTTCTGTCTTGTATTTTTATTTCTGAAATCTTTAATAAATAGGCCGGGCACGGTGGCTCACGCCTGTAATCCCAGCACTTTGGGAGGCTGAGGCGGGCGGATCATGAGGTCAGGAGATGGAGACTGTGCTGGCTAACACGGTGAAACCCCACGGTACTAAAAATACAAAAAAATTAACCCGGCGTGGTGACGGATGCCTGTAGTCCCACCTACTCGGGAGGCTGAGGCAGGAGAATGGCATGAACCTGGGAGGCGGAGCTTGCAGTGAGCTGAGATTGCGCCACTGCACTCCAGCCTGGGCGACAGAGCGAGACTCCGTCTCAAAAAAAAAAAAAAAAAGAAATTTAATAAATAATGGCTTTTTGTTTGAGATACACCAAGTTTTTTTAAAGCATATATTTTTCTTCTGTATTTTAATTGATTACAAGTTTACTATAATCTGTAATTTTGTACCTCTCATAGATACATCAGCATATTTGAGTGCCTTAAAGCTACTGAATATTTCTGATTATTGTTTATAAGAGAGCATAGCAGGGTGGCTTACTGTTAGAATTATTATTTTTTCACTCCTGATATAGTAGTATTAAGGCTTTCACAAACTAGTGTCCTTGAATTGGGAAAAAACAGAGCTACATGACTTACCCCACATTTTAGAGCTTCAGAATGTAAAATTTCAGTACTGGAAAAAAATCAGTTTAAAGTAAGCCATCAGAGACTTACCACTAAAATTTCAACCTGGAAGGAGCTTGCTTCTAATTATGTTTTCAGAAGTAAGCTTTTAATAGAAAGAAATACTTTGCCATTTGTTAATGTGTTCCTGATGTTTTATCCATTGAATTACGGGATACATGACAGAATTCCATCCAACATTATTATTGTGGCACAAAGCACAAACAGGAAAAAAATGAATTTCAGCTGTTTGAATGAAAATAAAAGTGTGACAGGATGGAAAGAATGTCCTGGACCATTTTTTATTTATTTTAAGAAAAAAAATATATACATATAGAAATATTTACATAACCAGTTTTTTTCCATATCACCTTTTTAAGATGTAAGGACATTGATTGTATGAACTTGCTGAAAAAAGAAAAAATAAATGAATTTTAAAAATTAAAAAAGATAAAAGGACAATCTGTTGACACTGATGTTTCCCAGCTAAATGCTTAATAATGTCAGACATTTTTGGTGAGCAGTTAGCCATAGGTTATAGAGGAGAGGGACTTCATTATTCTGCTAGTAGAGTTTCCTTTACTTGAGACAGTCAGTTCAGTAAGTCTGTATGTTTTGCATTAAAACCCAGGTTTCTGATTTGTTTTTGATTTGGAGACTTGCAGTGGAAATGTAGAACAAACTTTTTGGTGTATTTTTTTCTTGGGTATTTGTTGCCTGTGAATTTTATACTGTTTCTTTGTATTTTAATTATTTTTGTAGAACTAGGAAGTGCAAATGTGAATGTTTTTCCACACAGTGAAATTAATTGAAGTAACTCCTAATTCATTTTTATTCTTAATATATTAATGAGATCGTTGGAGTAAGCGTGCTTACTCAAAAATGGAAAGGTTCCAATATTCTTGGGTTTGGATTATAAACAACTGCCTTTATCTCTTCTCTTCAGTCTGAATAGCTGAATCTGCAAACCAAATTCATCCCAACAGTATTCAACCTACATTTATTCAGCATAACATTTTAAAGCCACTGTGCTGGATAGTGGAGGACATAAAGAGGGATAAAATGCCATCTTCATTATCTTGCAACTTACAGGAAAGAGAAGCCCAAAGATGTTATGTGACTGCAGAGTTATTATCCAATATAAATTTTAATAAAAAGAGGGAATTCCCAAGCGTACTACTGTGACAGTGCAAATTTACATTGCAACTGATTTTTATTCTACATGAGACCCTAAGGTCTTTCATTTAATTTTCAGAAATTTAAGTCTGATTTTGATATCCTATGGTCTTAGCAGCATCTCTTAGAAGAGAGTGACCATAGAGTTAGAAGTGAATTGTTTCTGTGTGTTAAGTGAAGTTTTCTTTTCATTAGGTGATGATGGAGTCAATGTAGAAGAAGATGGGAAAACAAAGAAAAGTCAGAAGGATGATGAAGAACAAATTGCTAAATACAGGCAGCTCTTGCAGGTTATTCAAGAGAAAGAAAAGAAAGGCAAAGAAAATGACATGGAAATGGAAATTAAATGGGTTCCAGGTAAGAATTAGTTACTAAATGTTTTCTCTTTTTCCAATTTCAGTATGTTGAGTACATTTTAAATATGAAGGAGCTGGAAATGTTTTGGTGAGGACCTTAACATCGTATTTGCATACACCATATAACTAACTTAATGACTAGCATTTTAGACTGTTACCAGCTTATTCTTAATTGGTTTCTTTGATTTACTAACTATAAATTATTCCTGTCCATTTATCAGAGTAGCCTTTTCTAGGTTTGAGCCTGTATTCTCAAGATCTGGAAGCTTGAATCCAGGCACCATGTATTCTAAAGTTATTACACTTCTTTTGAATATGTTTAATTCTTAAGTGACCTTTTCTTCCATAATCCCCACTAGTCCTAAATTCATGAGGTTTCCCTAACACAAAATATGTATTACATAGTCTTCCATCTTCAGTCTTGCTGCAAATAGTCAAAGAAATACAGCATAGTAGAGTAAAATAATACTAATACAAAACTAATTACAACCATGTCAAAGCTAAACAAAGATAAAAGCTGGGATAAATGGGATCATTCTCTAGTAAACAGCAGTTGCCCCTCTTTCATGGTTTCACTTTCTGCAGTTTGTTACCCAGTATAGTGCAATAAGATACTTTGAAAGAGAAAGAGGAAGAGAGATTATATTCACATAACTTTTATTACAGTGTAATTGTTCTATTTTATTGTTGGTATTGTTTATCTCTTACTATGCCTAATTTATAAGTTAAACTTTATCATAGCTATAGATGTACAGGGAAAAACATACTATCTATAGGGTTCAGTACTATCCACGGTTTCAGACATTCACTATGGGTCATGGAATGTATCCTCCTCAGATAGTTGGGGACTACTGTACACATTTTTTTCAACAGTGCTGGGCAAATCAGCATGGACTTTTGCAGCCAATACTGTTTTTGTAGGTTACTGCTGTTTATATTATATATATGTATAACTTTTAAAACCAGATGTATTTTTGGATAAGGATTCAGTTCTTTAGCCTGTATTAGTCTCTAGGAGAAAGAGTACTAACTAGTTGTAGGAATACCATTGCTTAAAACTTAAAAGTGTTCTGTTATCAATTCCATTTTTACAAGTAGCATGCTTTTGTAGTGGGAATAAAACATTTGTTTACATGGGTTTTTATTTGGGAAAAAATTAGTGTATTTTGATATTTGAGGATTGACTGGCTGTTGTAGTAAATTTGCTAGGATGGACACTGGCTATTGTAGTAAATTTGCTAGGATGATCTGCTGCATATTCCTACAGGAATGAAGCGCTGTGTTGCAACCCATTTGTTTTAAATGTTTGGCTTTTGCAGGAAGTGGTGGTGAGAACAAATGAAGTTTACTGTTGTATCATATGACAAGTGGTTGGGAGAACTCAATTGATTTGGCTTGGAGAGGAAAAGTCTAAAAAGTGATATTAACAGCTATTTTTAAATACTTGCAGAATATGTAAATGGAGACTTAATCTCTTTTATTACCTCACAGGTTAGCACTACTGCCACTGGATAAAAGTTGAAGGAAGGTAGATTTTAATGTAATAATATAAAGAGGAATTCTCTATGTTATTAGAATTATCTCACAAAAGAACTGAAGGCTGCTTTAAGGGGTTGAGCTCTCTGTGTCAGTAAATCTCCACAATAAGGCTACATAATCATGCCACTCAGAGATGTCTGTGAAGAAATATTTTACTTGAGTCCCTTGACTTTACGATTCCAAGAAATGTTGAATTCTGTCTTTTAAGTTGAATACATTGTAGTTTAATTCTAATCTTAGAATGAGCTTATTGAATATATTTTAATATGAACATTTTAAAATTGAAGTGTTCCGTTGTCTGTTTGAGAAAGCAGATCTAAAATAAACTGGATTGAGGTGTTCTATAGCAAATATTTCAGAAATATATAATGCCAGTTATAAGGTACAGATATATGATATAGGTTCCCACACTAAGTGTACCACATCTAGATTGCATCTTTATTAACATAATTATGAGACTGGGCACAGTGGCTCACACCTGTAATCCCAGCACTTTTGGAGGCCAAGGTGAGTGGATTACTTGAGCCTCAGATGTTCGAGACCAGCCTGAGTAGCATGGCAAAACCATTCCATCTCTACAAAAAAATACAAAAATTAGCCAGGTGTGGTGGCGCACGCCTGTAGTCTCAGCTACTGGGGAGGCTGAGGTGGGAGGATCACCTGAGCTCACGGAGGTTGAGGCTGCAGTTAGCTGTGATCATGCTACTGCACTCCAGCCTAGGCAACAGAATGAGACCCTGTCTCAAACAAACAAACAAAACATAGTTATGTAGGGCAAATACCTAAAAGTGGTATTTACACCTGTTATCTGTAACTGGAAAGTTTAAGCAATTCTTACGTTTCCTGGGATAAACCCCAACTTGGTTATGATACCTTATCTTTTTGTATATTCCTAGCTTAATTTAGTAATATTTTATTTAAAATATTTGTACTTGTGGCAAAGAGGAATATGATCTGTAGTTTTTCATTCTTGTATTGGTTTTTGGTATTAGGGTAATGTTGACCTTATGAAGTGAAAATGTAAAATGAAAGAGTATCATCTGTAATTCCACTATCCTAATTCAACCACTGGTTAAGAAGATTACAGTTTAATTTACCATTTCTCTGTTGTTGAATATTTGATTAAGTTTCTAATCTTTCACTACAGTGGACCTACAACATTGAAAAAAAAAAAAAAAAAACAAGACAGATCTCAAACCCTAAAATATCAAGCTTTTCTTAAATCTCTTCATTTTCATCAGCAGCCAAGTAACTGCTTGCTTTTTCAGGGCCTTTTAATTTTAAAAACTTTTAAAACAAAGGTGTGTTGTTTGTCTCTTCCAGCCTAGAAATGTTTCCAAGCATGCCAGGACTAGTAGAGAACAACCAGGCCACAATGAGAAGCTGATACTAACATTCAGGCTTAACTCACCAGTTAGTTACGTGACTTCCTTGCTCACACAGCAACTTTACATGTGCTGTAGATCAACCTGTGGTTCTCTCACAAGCTGTTAAAACTACCAGTGTCAAAACCTCAAATGTTAAATCTCAGATGCCAAGTATCTGGGATGTTATAAATAACCTATAACTTTTTCCATATTTTGAATTATTTTCTTAGGATAGTTTCCCAGAAATAGAATTACTGAGAAAGGGCAGAATACTTTTTGTGTCTTTAAGTTATTGCCAAATTGCTTTCTGAAAGTGTTGTACCAGCTTATAATACCTTCAACAATCAGTAAGAGTGTCAGTTTCACGGAATTATCGTCAACATTGGGTATGTATTTTTTACTTTTAATTGAATAGGGGAAAATTGATATTTTAATGTATGATGAGTTTTCAAAAGTCTTAAACTGTAATATTTTGAAGGCCCCTAATGGGGTATTGGTACATGCACGCATGCATATACAAGTGTAAAGGGCTTTTCTGTGTGATATATATATATACACACACACACACGATCATTGAACAGTCTTTCTGTACCTCAGTTTATTCCTATGGAATTTGGAACTAATAATACCTTTTTTGTTTAGAGATACTTATAAACGTTATAAACTACAAAGTACTTTCATGACGTGTGTATTTCAGTGAATTTATGTCTTAAGAAATGTGTGTTTTTGGTAACAGTTACCCTGAACCTCAGGACTTTTTTGATGTTATACTTCAGTAAACCACAGAGGGTCAGTGTGAGATTATACCATATCATTCATTGATTCTGTAGCTCGAATCTCCAAAATATTAATCTCTTCAGGAAAATAAGTACTCTTAATCACTAACATTTGTTATGGTTTTGTTTGATTTTTCCAAAGAAATTCTAGTTTAGACTATTTAAACTTTCTACCTTTTTACATTGGGTTATACAGTATAGTACATGAGGAGTTTAATTTCTTTTAAGGGTAAGTGTTAAGGGAACTGATAACAGGTTCGTGGGTATAACAACTGGAATGAGCTACTCTTTCTATCAATATTTTAGTTCCTATGGAAATGTGATAATACGATTTTATTAATTAGGATTATAAATAAGTAAAAATGTTGAATTATAAAATGTTTAAAGAAAGTTATTCTTTATTATTTTGATGTATGTGGAGCTATATTTCCTATCTCAATGCATTGCTAAAGGTATCCTGCCAACTTAACTAATGGGTAGATAAGGTGATGCATATAATTAGCCAGTTGGGCCTTCATCAAGAAATGTACCTTGTTGGGGAATTTGTAATACATGTATAAATGAAGTGTAATCAGTTTTCTCTCTTTATATAACTTCCCCTGTATTAATAGTCCAGTTAATCTACATAATATTTTTTGTAGATAATGCAAGCTGAATATAAACTATATATGAAATTCCATCCAGAAATAAATAATGTCATGTTCCTTTGTTTATAATCTTAAAATATTAAATATGATGAAAGTCCTGTTTTTCTTAGCTATCTCTGGCTTCATAGATACTAGTGAAATGGATAGCTGGTCTTTTTTCTACTCAACATTCTCCAGAACCCCAACTTCCCTTCATTATTCCATCAAATACTTACTGAACACCTACTCTGTGCCAGGAATTATTCTATACACTGTGTGAACAAAATATAAAAATCCCTGTACTCACAGATCTTATAATCTGGTGAAGGAGAGACCAAACAGGTGACAGATACATAAGAAACATATTTGACCAGGATCTAAAGGAATTAGAGGTCAGGGAGTGATCCTGGCCCAGGAAGACTGTGTGAGCAGAGGAAGTAGCAAAGGAGTATCCTTGAAGCTATACTTTGTCTCTTGTGTTTGAGGAATCCAAGGAGAACAGTGTGACTAGAGTGGAGGAGAGAAGTAACTGAGATCAGAGAGGTAGTTTGGAGCCAGACATGAAGACCTTGTAGGCCATTATAAAGACATGAATTTCTGTGACTGAGATGAGAAACCACTGGAGAGTTTTGAGCTCAGTATCAGTCAAATCTGACTTTTATGTTTAACAGGATCACTCTTGCTGCTATAGAT